GGTTCTGATATTAAATTTCGGCCTATTGCAATTACTTCCCCCTTTTTAAAATTGATGGAAAAATTACTTTTACTTCGTCTTGAACCCGCTTTGAAACCTTTTAATGATCCTAAACAATTTGCATACAAACATGGTAGAAGTACCTTGGATGCTGCGGTTGTCTTATATCACAATGTTGTCTCTTGTTTAGACAAAGGTGCTAAATATGTTCGTAGTGCTTTCTTAGACTACACATCTGCTTTTGACTCTGTACCTAGGGGCCTTTTGTTAAATAAGCTATCGTTGACACAAACAGGATCCTGGGCTAAGAGTTGGTTGCATTCCTATTTTTCTGATAGAATGCAGTATACTGTATATAACGGCAAATCTTCTTCTACCTCGCTTACAAAATCCGGTGTTCCACAAGGTGCTGTCCTCTCTCCTTTTCTTTTTTCTTTCTTCCTACATGACCTGCCTCATTCAAACGAAACTAACTTTGTCAAATATGCAGATGATCTGACTGTATCACTGCCTATCACTTCCGAGTCTGACAGCTCCAAACTTAATAGCTTTCTGTTGGACATCAACAACTGGTCCAAGTCAAATGGTCTTATATTAAATCCTTCCAAATGTCAGGCACTTGACTTTACTTTCAAGCATCGACGTGACTTACTTGAACTAGTTAACTCGCATGATCCCTGTAGCATAGATGGCACGGAAATTGAAACCAAATCAAGCATTAAATACCTTGGATTAGTTTTTTCCTCTGACCTTTCATGGTCATCCCATATCTTATCTATCTCTAAGAAAATGTTTCGTCTTACCTTCTACATTAAAAAGTTAAGACAATCAGGTATCAACCAACCTTTAGTTTTGCAATTTTTAAACTCCTGTATTTTACCTATTGTACTCTATTGCTCTCCATTAATCTTTCCTGGGCTTCTCAAAAAAGATTATATCATATTACGAAGAGTATTAAATGCTGTGAGTAGAGCTTGTGGTCTGCCACTGCATGAGCTCGCTAATACTATAGTCGAGAGGCATATAAATTCCTGTACGAAATGGGCAAAGGCTATAATGTCAGACCCTCTGCACCCCCTTTATTCACACCTGTCCCCTTGTATCTCATCAGGTAGGACGAGAAGTCAATATAAAAAGTTATATGCTCGTACCACTAAGTATAGAAATTCTACAATACCCTATTTAGCCCGTACTTTATGTGACGAAGACTCTGTTAGACGTGAAACTTACAAGTTACTATGTAATTAGCACAGTGAATCGACCCTTTCATCGTTCATCTTTCTGTATTTTATGGTGTCACACTTTCTATCGTTTAATTATAACTCTGCTATTTTATTTTAGTTGGTATTACTATTATTACTACAATTTTGTACTTTATGCATATTTTTCTCCGTATGGCATACAGTATTTTGCTATGTAGCTGCTATAACAATCGTTTTATTACTATTATGTAATGTGTATTTTTAATTTTTTTTGTCGGTTTTGAGTAAATTAGATGCAATATTGTACTGAATGCTGAAAATTCCTTGCTGTATCATTAGTACTGTTTTTGGAATAAAGCAAATTATTATTATATAGTGAATGCATCCGCATTATTGAGAACGGTTTTGAATCATACTGTGTCGTATGCTACTGATAAGATTCATCAGTAGTATACAAAGAGACGTTCGTCGGCATAAAACATTAAATAGCACTCAGATAGATGTGATATCGGAGAAAGAAAATGATGCAACCTTGCGGAGAAACATGGGAGACGTGAAAGAGACACAAAGAAACACAACATGGATGAAGGGCAGAAGTAGCACAACATGAAATATCTGTGCAAATGGTGCGTTGAAGATAAAGTGTACATACTTTCGTTGCATAAAGATACCAAATTGCAAATAAACATGCCTAAACCAAGTCTTTCGTCTTCTACCATTACAATATCACCGATTGTCTCCAGACATTGGTTCTTAACACTCCAAGGAATACAATCAAGCAGTCTATGCCTGCCCACACGGCTCAATCCAAATATCAATCAATCCATAGAAAACCTACGTGGAATGGTCAAATGACAAGCTTGTATGGCGGATTTTAATTAAATCTCTTGCGACCCACATCCCACGCATCTGTAATCCCGACGTTCTGTAAACAGAATTAGATATGGTAAGAGAAATCTTCATCCAAAATAGATACCAAATAAGATTCATCGATAAAAATATCAAACCAGGAATTCGGAGGAACGAAACTTTAATTGAGCCTAAAAAGAAACTCTACATGAACTTGGATTTCAATGGAGATTTAGCAAGCGATATTCTCAAGAGAAGGATCACATCATCTCTGAGAAGAACATTCTTTGCAGCAACGCTAACAATAGTGTTCTTCAGTCGCCCACTGATTTGCAGAAGCCTCAAGGACAAGATCCCGCATGTGACCACTTCTATGTGCATATATCAGTTCACCTGCAACTGTGAAGCCAGGTACATCGGTCGTTCGACGCGCATCCTGTCCAAGAAGATTCAAGAACACTATCCACCATTGTTGCAAAAAGACAATAGTGGTGCAATAAGGAGTGCGATGACTGAACACCTGGTTAACGCTGATTATTCCATTTCAACAAACGCCTCCTTCAAAGTAATCTACAGAGTCAAGAATAACCTATCAAAGGCAATAGGGTTTTATCTCCTTTGTATCGCTGAAGCTCTGGCCATTCACATAGAAAAACCGGAGCTGCGCATACAAAAAGAAGATTACTCAATCACTTCTACTGTTTATATTTTTTATTTTGATGACTTAATTTTGTTTCTTTGCCTGTTCTTTAATTGCTTATAATTCTTGTATTCATTTAGATCTCTTAAGTAATTTCGTATTATCTACTTTGTTTCTATGTGCATCCTGAGTAAAACTCACTCATCAAACTATTCATATTATTACACAACTTCTTTTAACAAGTGTTTGTGACAACTCATCACCTTTGTTACTACCCTAGTTTTGTAACAACAGTAGACAAGGGCCAGGCAACAGATCGTTTTATTATGAAAATCAACACGTATTTATACATATTTCACATAAATTATTATAGCTTATGCAAGTAGACAAGCGCAGTCATCTGATTGGTTGTTTATCGGAAGTTAGGCAGACAAACGCAGGCTTCTGATTGGTTGTTTCGGGATTCCTCGACAAATAGAGTTCTCTATCTGCGAATCATATTTTGCCACGTTAACTTTGCTGTGATTGGTTGTTGAATCAGCCTTGCTCATATTTTCTCACGGCCTGCTCTCACCACAGTTTCACTAACATCTAATTTTCTTGACTTGTATTACCAATCTTCACCTGTTTAATTAAAATAACCATAACCAATTGTAATTTTGTTTGACAAACTTAATGTACACATACATAAAAAAGAACACATTTTTTGCGATTGTACAGTTAAGAAAATGAATTTGGCCGAAAAGAGACTCTTCGCTAATCTACGTGTTTTGTTTTCAGTAAAGGATTGGCGCCAGATTTGGGTTTGATCACTCTTAATTCTTTTCCAACCCACTTTTGTGTAAGCTAACACTGTTTGTAGAGAAAAGCAGTCGTTTGGCATGCCCAACCAGTGTCCTAGCCAACTCAGTCGATGTAGCTTCACAGCCCTATGGGTTAATTTTTCTAGCACTCTATAAATAACCTCAATATTACACCCATTTATAAGCAATATGGTAAGATTAGTTATTTTATGTCGTAAGAGAATAGATTTTTTTCAAGTCCAGCTCAAAAGCACATATGACTAATTACACAATCATTCAATAAAGAAATATTTGGAACTAGCTCAGTTTACTTATTTGCTTAAATAGCTCCACATCTGTCTCCCTCTTTGTTAATGTGTTGTGCAATAATAACACAAGTATTTCTTAGTCAATAATCCAATGGAGTAGCTTTCTTCATGAGATTACACACAATAATAACTTTTAAGTGATAGTTACATTAGTCTGGTTATTAGGTTGGGGCTTCACTAGGAACACCATCACTCACTGACTGAGGGATACAGGTAGATCCAGCTGACCAATACCAGATAAGACATAAGCTTCCTGGATTCCACTCAGATTAACCCTCAGATATCATCAAAGCGTCTGCACAACTAGCCGGTATGTGAACAGAAACTAAACATATCCGTCCAATCAGTCAACAGGAAAATCCAAATTGGATTAAAAATCGATAACAGTTAAAGTAATCAATATTAACACCAATAATTACTCACACATACACCCATGCAAACAAATCCCTATGCTTATTTATACGAATGGTGATTTATATTATGCCATACTATTGTGTTTATCAGTAAGGTGAGTTATCAATACACGCACGTGATATACACTCGCACATACATAAATATTGATTTTTCAACATTAACCCAGTTTCCTTATCTATGCATACAGCAAGCCCAATATCCAACTTTAAATGGTACTACTATAATTTTTCCCTTTTCAATTATATTTTTGTGGTATGTTAGCCATAGACTGAAAAGTTTTCTAAAGTTGAACTGACAGTGCAGATAGAAAGAGAAAAAAAGTGAAGGTAGGGATGAGGTCAAACAAAATATTATAACATATATAAAAATTTTTAGAAAAAAAAGGAATAACCTGACAATAAGTGGAAGGTAATATATGTGCTTTTAATACTCTATGCTTATATTCATTGTAGAAAATTGTGTAAGCTAATATTAAAAGGCGAACCAGTGGATATCATTTTATATGTACATATATATACAAATATGTGCACAGTAAGTAGTAGTAGTATGTATATAAACAGGATGTACACAGTTGTGTGCAATGTACTTACGCCTGCCCATCTCTCTATGCGTAGCTTCTAAACGAACGAATGTGCTGTGGTCCAAAAACACGCTTATCCTTTTGTCTACCTACGCTTTTTTCAAGGGGAAATTTTCATTAGGATACTGTCTACTAGACAGGTATAATTGGGACAGGTAATGCGGATAGGTAAAGTAACTGGGTGCATCCATATAGCCACACTGTCTCACATACACACACACACCGAACAGTTTCATCTACTATCCAGCCTATAATCATTAAGGTGCTATTTCATTCAAACAGTAGAACGAAGAAAAAGAAGGTTTAAGTGGTTCATTCACTCACACACACACACACACACTACTAGTAGTAGTGTAAAATCTTTCGTGAATCGACACAAACCTTATTGCATAAAAGTCTGATAATTATTAACACCATTTCACTTGTTATTTGTTAGGATTAGCTTCTTCTCCATTGAACATTGTGAATAGTTATCGAGATATTTAAAAGATGTCACGATAAAACAAAAATCCTAAAAAATCTCAATCGAATAGAAAGATTGAAAATATTAAAAAAGAAACAACACTAACTAGACTTAGTGTTTTCTTCACACCTGTTTTGTGGATATTTGTGTAATTTTCACGGTTTCAACTTTACTTTCTCAAAAAATTTTCTTCACTTAAACTTTCTGAAAGCCTTACACAAAACTTTCACGTTTGTTTATTTCATTACGCGGGAGAGTTAAAAAAAAAGAAAGGAGGAAAGAAGAAAGAATCTAACACCACCCCACATACACACATTCTTGAAGAAACACGCTGATTTGCACCCTATTTGTTTTCTTCATCAAGAGGAAACACAAGAAGTAATCATTATTTCCAATTCATTTTGTGGATTTTATTCAATCAACTATTTCAAATAATTGAAACATTTAACAGTGATACCATTGAATAATATACATCCTTCAGTTGAATGATATAATATTGTTTCAGTAAAAGAAATCTACAAAATAAACAACTAAAACCTTTGTATTCAGAACAATGTCTAAAGGTGAGTAGAGTATTTTGTAAAATAATAGTGTTATTTTCTACTTTGATATATATATATATATATATATATACTTTACCGTTTATTTTGATAATATTTGTGACTATCTACTAAGAAAAGTCGCAAAAGTGTATCGCCTGCAGTTCCAGGCTGATTCTGAAGTTTGAAATGATGCATGGGGACAGCATCACTCATTTTGGAAGGCAAGTACATCCAGTTGACGAGCCCTAGGGAGAACGAAATGCTCATTCTAGATTCTATTTCTAGTCTAATCACAGATATTCTCACCTGTTCATGTCTATTGTCAGAGAATTAATGACTACCGGAAATAGCAATAGCAATATCCTACAAAATATAATTTTTGTATACAATCCATGATAATAGTAAATGTTTTAACTTCCCTTAAGTTAATTTCAGCCAGTGTTTGCAGGTGATGATAAAATCCACTGCATAGTCTAAGTTTTCTATAGCAACGCTAATAGATTATAAGTTCATCCAAGTAATAATACGGATTCAGTTGAACTCCAATTAGTCAATTTTTGTTCCTTTTCAATAGTTGTATTCATAGTTTATCGCCTTTTCTACGGAAAATCAACCTCTTTTGAAGTTTTAATCATCCGAATAGGAAAGTATTTAGAGTTTCTGATGATCCAAAAAAAATCATAAGCAGTAGTTTTTTCTGTTTAATTTATTTAATAAGTACCTTTATATAGCCTTTTATAAACCATTTTTACTTATGCAGTGTAGTTCACTTTCGTAATAATATGTAAACAAGCAAAGTTAGGCCCATTTGTTTACGTTTTGAATGGAAACATTTGTTTCGCTTGGCAGTTTAGATTAATTTAAGGGCTGTGTAATCTGCCCTAAGTAACGAAATAACCTTTAGACTCTCTTTAATTCCAAAGATTAAGATTACAGCATATAATATTTTTTTAGTCAATTCAATATCAGATACCTTTGTTCAATTCATACTGTTACCTGAAATGTATTTGAACATGATACGTGTTTTATTAGAAAAATAATTTACGATAACAGCCACTTTGATTAAGGCTTTGCTAAATTGTTTGCAATCAGACAAAGTAAGTTTAGAACAGAGAGTAGCGATGATTGTGAACTTTCTTATCACAGTATGGATAAACACTGTCAAAATGGATGTAAAGTTATGACGAAACACTTTAGAGTAAACCATGAGCTGGAAGATGTAAGTCACTTTACTATTATTTCATTTCTACTGTTCCTACGATACCAACGCCCACCACCACCAACCCCCATCATTATCTGACACAGCTTGCTAGTATGACAACTTTGAGATTTGTTATGCATGCATGTTTTCCAGCTTTTTTTGTCTATAATCGAAAAGATTTGAATTAGTTGTGTTTCCTAAGCTGGTTGATCTAGTCGCGAAGCTTTCGTCGTCATTCTAGACAGCATCTTCAGCACAGATTCAAAGTTCATATTTACATCCTAAGCTGAAGATGCTGTCTAGAATGACGACGAAAACTCTGTAATGAAATCAACCAGCTCAGGGAACCCAACTAATTCAGTTTCTTTATCCATTTCGATTAAACATGTTTCATATCAGCTTTGGTAATAAGTCGACTGCATTTAAACTAAAAAAAAATCAAGTGTTGCTTTGTAGGGATTTGATTGGTTATAGGATTTCATCATGAGCTGACATTGTTTAGAGAACCATAGGGAAACTTGGGAATACTGGACAGCTGTTCCGTCCTAGTGCTCGGGACTCACACACATCTCAGTTAAATTACGTCTTCTTATTATCTTTTTTTAAATCCATAAAAGAACCTAAGTTTCAAAAACGACCTGTTTCTATTCTCCTTATCATTCGGTTTGATTCATAATACTCATTTATAAGTTTGAGATTCACAGAAAGCTTAGCTATAGAGCTGGGTTTGTTCTGTAGACTAGTCAGACTGATTTTTTTTTAGTAACAAGATTTCATCATGAGCTGACATTGGTTAGAGAACCATTGGAGAACCTGGAAGTACTACCAGACAGCTGTTTCGTCCTAGTGCTATGGACTCTTCAGAAGTAAGCACCCACCGGAGTTTGAACCCAGGACCTTCTGGTTACAAGGTGAGCTCGTAGACCATTAAGCCATTGGCACCCAATCCAATGGCCAATGAATTCTAACTTCAGGTCGGGTGTGAGGACAAATACTTGCCGAAAACATTGGCTAGTGGTCATGCTAAGTTGTGAGTTAGCAGAAGTTAGAATTCATCGGATAGGCATTGGATCGGGTGCCAGTGGTTTAATGGTCTACGAGCTCACCTTGTAACCAGAAGGTCCTGGGTTCAAACTCCGGTGGGTGCTTACTTCTGAAGAGTCCATAGCACTAGGACGAAACAGCTGTCTGGTAGTACTTCCAGGTTCTCCAATGGTTCTCTAACCAATGTCAGCTCATGATGAAATCTTGTTACTAAAAAAAAATCAGTCTGACTAGTCTACAGAACAAACCCAGCTCTATAGCTAAGCTTTCTGTGAATCTCAAACTTATAAATGAGTATTATGAATCAAACCGAATGATAAGGAGAATAGAAACAGGTCGTTTTTGAAACTTAGGTTCTTTTATGGATTTAAAAAAAGATAATAAGAAGACGTAATTTAACTGAGATGTATAATATATATTAGTACAACACATTCCTAACATTCTGACTGTACAGAAACAGAAAAAGGATATGACAGTGTTTTGGAAAATGAAATGAACTTAGTATCGAATCCGTCGTAGTGGTTTCACATGCCGTATTACCTGAAGCAGTACAACAATCATCAGTCAGACGTATCGGATTACATTAGTAGCTAGTTGTAACCATCAGGAATCCTCAGTGTAACAGTTAGAAATCCATAGCCAATGTCTTATTCAAAAAATTCTGTAATTAAATCTTTCAAAACTATCCATTCTGTCTATGATATCAGTGAAACATAATCGTCTGTTGTATGTTGCTTCACATGTTCAACATCTTCAATGTTGTTTTAATCAGTCTTAAGAGTAACAAAACCGCTTACAGAATACCTACAAACTGAGTAGCATACATTTATCATTACATAAAATAGTGTTTTTCGTGATATAACGTCATAAAAGATCTAACGACGTTTGTAGCTGCAAATCTCGAGTTCTAACAAAATTAAAATAGGCGCTGTAGTGTAACACCACTTTATTGCCAAGTGGTTACTGACTCATCATTTTTGTTTTCGAAGAATAGCTTACTGGTCTTCTATTGTGAATGATTTACTGATGTTTGTGCAGTCCTCCCTAATCTCGATTATTTGGACATGAGAATTTCATCGACAGGCTAGGCGATTTCATTCGCGTCTCGTGGACAAGAAACTAAGTCAGGATAAAGTCACCTTCAGCTAATGATGAGACACTTAAAGGAATAGCACTGAATTACTATTTTTCATGCCTTTAGTTATGAATTCACTTTACTACATATAAAGGTTCTGTTAAGATGCATTGCTTATAATGAAGATAAATAGTAACAGTAGCTGCGTATATTTCCCAATGTTTCATTCTACCATCTTTTAATGGCACTCAGACCTCCTGTGTATGACTAATCATATATTTCAATTGTATATACCTTATTCATCATAATTCAATAAGAATAATAAACACAAAGGTAAGAAAATGAATAAGAAGACTAGCGCAAAAAAGATATAGTTTGTTTTCAATTTAAAACAGTAATCGAACTAGTTATCAACGATGATTTAATTAAAATGTCTTCATTATTCTACAAAGTATGTTAAACTATGAAATATTTTCAAGTGTTGGTTTGCACAGATTTGATTGCTTACAGGTTTAATCAGTTACAGAACAACTGGAAAGCCAAGAATTATTGTACAGATGTTCAGTTCTACTTTGAGACCCTTCATCGGCACGTACCCACCGGCATTCGAACACAGGACTTTCTAGTTGAAAGGCGAGCCTGTAGACCGATTGAATGACCCATGAATTCCAACTTCCGCTAGACTTTATTATCGATTTCAGTATAAAGGTTTGAATATCTGGTTTTTATGTAGGTATTAGCATTTACCTGTATTAATAGGCATCTTTGTTAGTTGAGAAGGTTCCTGATAGCAAGTGTTATGCTTCGGATTTCATAACATGACGTGATTTTTGCAGGTATTATCATATATGCAAATGGTCCGCTGTTCGATCCTCTGCCGACGCACACCTAATATCTATGGTAGGCCTGCGAAATTTGGGCTACCGATATCACATGCTGAAAATTCCATACCTGTAACAAAAAATACGGTGTGAAATCAAGCTGAAATCAAAAAATATATTGTTTAGTACACCAGATGAAATCATAATAATTAAATCGAAACGCATTTTATAGAAAAATTAGCTGTTGATGGAACCTTTACTTTAAAGTAACAGTTCATTAACAGTATACTAACATACATTAATTATTCCATACCCAGAATACATTCCAAATAATGATTTCATCAACGAAACTCTAATCAAGATGGTATTTACTACTGACTGATACAAGTAGTCGGACAAGTCATATGTCAACTCGTAAAGACATAACTAACCCTTACAAACCAAACTATAGAAAATTAATCTGAAGCTCGCTAGTGACTTACTACAGGATAGAGTTTCTGGGGAGTTCCAGTGAGAAGTCGTGACCAGTGAGGTCCATTCAGATGTCACGTGTGACGATGGATGTCCCACCAACGACAATGGTTGGGGTCGCGCTAAATCACGAATTGGTAGAAGTTAGAATTCAAGAGTTGGCCATCGAATCTGGTCCTAGTGGTTAAATGGTATATGAGCTTCCCTTTTAACCGGAAGATCCTGGGTTTGAACGCCTTGTGACAGGTGCGTACTGCCGATGATTCCCAAAACCAAGGATGAAACAGCTGTCTGGCAGTACTCCAGTGCTGGTTTTCAATGGTTCTCTAACTGATATCAATCCGTGATCAACTCATAAAGATTTGTCAAAGAGTAGAGTCATCATTTCAAACTATTTAAATTCTAGCTG